GACGTTTCGGGGGAACATATCGCCTAACCCTTGCTCAGCACATGCAGCTAAGCAGAGCATATTTTCTCTTTTGTGGTTTCTTCCTCGGCTTATTCTTCGACCTGAAGATGGAGGCAGTATGATACCAAAATGTCGTGCCGTCCCTGAACTACACGGTGTTACAACCCAGAGGACAGTACCTTTTGTAATCACCGTTGTGAGGACCTCGAACTCAGCATGAAATCCTTTTGATAACAGGCAGGAAATGTCGGTTCCCTCATTCGGAATTCAATAAAACCGATGTAAACACATGTTGCTGTGATACTATACGAAAGAATAAGATAAAACGTCCCACAATTACTAGTTTTTTTTTTTTTACTTTTCCCATCATCCGGTGTTCTAGAGACTATAAAACAGGACGTTTCAGAAACTGGATCTGTTTTTCCTACTCAGGTGAAGGGGGAAGACACCTACTCATTTGAGTCCCTTATAAAGAGCTAACTTCAATCATTGGGTCACTTCCCAATGTCTAACTAAATGCTGAAGAGTGGAGAAAAGACTATATTCCAGTTAGCTAAGATATATTTAGCAAGGAAAGTCAGAAAGGATGAACATATTGTGTTGCAATTTTCACATTGCTTTACTCCCGATTGTAAGTGAATGTTATATTCGTTTTTCTCAGTACGAGATGGAGGTCATTTCTGACAAACGTTTCTGAGCAGCTCAGATGGGATCTAAAGTGGAACACATGTTCCCGCAACGTCATACTATGACAATGACGGCGATGATGAAGTCATAGATACACGTCATTAGAGTTGATTCTAAAGGGTCCTGACAATGGGGTGTAACGCTCAGAATTAATGGGTTTTGGGACTTTGTACATCATCCGGTATTCCAAAAACTAGAAAACACAACGTTTTGAAAACTGGATCTGTTTTCGTCCTCTAGTGAGGGAGGAGTGGAAGACACCTAATCAGATGGGTCCCTTAGGAAGAGCTACCCTCAGTCACTGGGTCCAGTGATTGAGTTTTTCTAGTTTCTAGAATACTGAACAGTGGACAAAGTCCAAAAACCCAGTGATTTTGATCATTATAAGTTATCCCTGTAGCAGGCCGTGAAGGCTTCCACATTATCTCTTGAGAATCGGCGCACAGGTGGCAGTAGGGTTGTCAGCCTTACGCGCCGGCTGAATCCACCCCAGGGCCATACTGCGGCTGGAAGGGTTAGGTAAATTTAAAAAATTCACCTCATCAGGACTCGAAACCGCGACCTTCCGGCTTGTAGCACAGTGCCTGAATCAACTCAGCTACCCCGTGCCCCTTTTCCGATTGTTGTATTTGGCCAAAAATGTGAATGGAAGACTGAACACTTAAGAGTTAGTCTACTGACTTCTGCTAATGTTGCAGATTCTTGTAGACAAGCCAGGAAGAGTCTGACAACTTCCACAGTTATTCCTGAAGTTCTCAGAGAGCTCACTGTGAAAATGTGACGTCGTGTAGCTCAGTAGAAGCTTACTGGTTTCTTCCTCCTTTTTCTTTAACATAACTTTGACCTTGAAGATGAAGGAAATAACTTCCTCCGAAACACCGATGCACTTCTCTCAAGCTACATAGCGTCGCGTTGCGGAAGACTGTACAGTTCTGGGCTGTCGGTAACTTCGTTTCCTGTTTGCTCGTAAAAGTAGCAGTAATATGGCTGCAGTGACGTCATGATTATTCAATCAAGCGTGTAGAAAACTAAGTGACTTTTCATGAAAAATAAATCGATTTTCTGTAATCAAATTATGGACTATTTGCTTCAAATATGTCGAAAATATTATTAATAATTTTACCAAATTTGCTGCTTTTTCTCTTCAGTAACTACTGTTCTTTTATACCTAAGTGTACCCTCGGTAATGTATACTGTCAGCTTACAGGAACGTAACGTTCAGTTTGTAAATTGGTAAGCTAAAGGTAAAGTTGTAAGATTTGAGGTTTTACGGAAGTGAGTATGAAGATTGTTGTCCTTTGGAATGTGGCGCCGTGTAGATATTGTGTTTACCGACGTTTCGGAGAAACATATTGCCTGCAGACTGCAGCCACCTGGTCACGCTGGTTCCTCGCTAGCGGATTTCTATACCCTGTAGATGGAGGCGATATGTTCCTCCGAAACGTCGTTTAACACAATATCTACACCACGCGACATCCCAGAAAATGGCATTCTTAAAGGTAAAGTTATCCTTCGGCGCAGTTAATTGAGAGCCACGCCAAGAAGCCGAATAGGGCAGTTGAGTTACAGCTCCATCATTCTGAACCTACGTCCTAGATCGATGCGAGCTGTTAGCTTTGCGCTCTTACGATTTTACCCCCGGACGAGCAGCCCTCGGTTTCCAATGTATAGGAGGCTGAGCGGGCCTCAGAGCCGGTCTGGATGTAAGGGAGAAATTGAAAAAAAAAATCTCTTGGTCCCATCGGACCCCTCCTCGGTCGTTCAGCACGTAGCCAAGTCGCTATACCAACTGAGGCAGCCTGGCTCTTATTTGTTATTCGGTACTCGAATAAAAGGAGCCGGGATAGCTCAGTCGGTACAACGACTGGCTACGTGCTGAACGACCGAGGGGTCGGAGTTCGAAACCCAGTATGGTCAATTTTCTTTTCTCCACGTCGTCCAGACAGGCTCTGGGGTCCACCAAACGTCCTGTCCCATGGGGACTTGGGGCGCTTTCGCAAAGGGTAAAGCGGCCGGCTCGTGAAACTGTCCATTCACCTCCAGCTCTAGCCGAGGTCAAGAAGATGTGAATCTATACATCCGCTCCCCCATACACCTTCATGTTTTAGTGCTTAATTAGTTAAGCACAAGGAAAACTTACAAGGAAGGAAACAACGACAATCCAGTTTTTCTCCATTAAACGGGTGAAATAATGAATAATATAAGGTGCACGGCCAGGACGGGTTCCTACCAGACGGTAAAGCATAGCTAAATACTGAATAGACAGAAGCAAAGAGATCCTGTAGCGAAATCAGTGTGCCTGCTGTAGGCGCCGCCAGGCAGCTTCGGTTTGGAGTTCCAACCACCTATGACGTTTCTCATTGAGGCTGTTTGCGTGTGTGTTCTTTATCATCGCTGCTGTTTGTTATCCGGTACACAAGCACGTCAATCAAACAGTGGCAAGCAGAGAGACGGCTGCTTGTGAGAAAGAGACAGCGCTGAATGTTAGGTCGGGCGTGAGTTGGTTGTTGTACTATGTATGTGATGAAGCGAGTTTGTCCCATTCCTCACCAGATCGCGTGCGCAGCAGTACGTTGCTTCGCGGGGGACTTTGTGTTCAGTAGCTTGCCTATGGTTGACTATCGGCCGAACGGACAGGCTGGTTGCCTGAAAGTGTGAGTGTGAATCTGCTGCCCAACAGTACGCGAACGATCGACGTGTTCAGTTACACGGCGTTAAAACTCATCTTGAGTACTGTGTATAGATCAGATTCTTTACGTAAAAATCAATCTCACAACGGCGCGTGTGTGTAGTGTTATGGAAAGTTTCATAACGTATTATTGGTAGTGATTCTTCCAGTCAGACCTCCCGCGCCTAATACAGACCACTTACGTAAGATAAAACCATTGGTGGACTAACAACATTTTGTAAACATTCAGTAAAAAGTCGTTATGCTTTCTTGATTTAGTGCGGGACAACAGTGCTGTCAACATAGTGTTTCACCATTCACAGAATTCAGCTTTGTTCAAGGTCCACGCTTACTACCTGCATTGAAAACATCATCGTCAAACTGAACAGTGAACAAAAAATCACGGATAGCCTATGTACTTTTCTGTCATTCACCAAACTAACTGGTGTTTTGAAAGCAGGGAGATAACAGTGAATATTCACACATTTTTCCGCTTTAGGTTAAGGGTGAAATATGACCGAAGGTTGAAATTGTCTGTGGTTCTGTGCTATACAAAAAGTTCTTTCTATTGTTACGTACAAGTAGCAAACGTAGTTTTTTGCTGCTGTCATTCTGAAACCATGTGGTAAATCTAACCCCAACTACTAGGAGGGGTTCCTCGCCCTTTATTGCTTTCCGCTGCAGAATAAAGGCGAACACGTTACAGTTTTATGGTGATTTTCACGAACAGGATACAATAATCGAAGTATTTCATTCAGAGTGATTGTGTCTGCATGTGACTAATGCGTTAGTATGAGCAGTAGTTAGTCCACATTCAACCAGGGATGAGATCAAGATCGTGGCAGCCATTCGGATGTACTTAATTTGAATTACTTATCACTTTCGGTGGGGCATAATGTCTGCTTTATGAAGTTGCCCAATGTTCTATACTTTTCGTGTATTTGTCATGCGAAGTGCGTGCTTGGTATTACAGTAGACCTGTATGTATTAATGAGTAACAGATTCAGGCTAACGATTGCGTACCTAGTGGTGAATTAATCATTACAGTGTGGTAAGCAAAAGCAAAAAAAGGGAGTTGGTGAGGGGAAACATATTTTTATTTGTGATGGTGTTTTGTAAATATCCGTCCTCTCGCACATTTCACCACTAATCCATCTATCCTTGCCGCTGGTGTTTGCTCCCCTGTCTGAGGCAGCATCTCATCTGTCTCTTCTGCTCCAGTAGGAGCACTACCCCATAACACTCCCCCTCCCTTTATCTCTCTCCCCCCACAGTTCACTCAGCACCCACTCACTTTATCTCTCTTTCTCTCTCTTCGTTGGATCTCTACATTGCTACCAACATTTCGAATTCCACCGTATCAAGAGATACCAACATGAAATTTTTCCTAACACTGGTCCATCTACCGGACTGATCCCTTTGCCGGAGCTGATGTGACATATTTCCCGCACCTCACTCCCTATAGTTGCTTCTTGTTCGGCCCTGTCTGTTGAGTGACCGCGGGTGTCTGTCTGTGTGTCTTTGCCCGCCACCTCTCTCGTGGTCTTCACCTGAACCATCATCATCATCACCGACTGCACGGCCGTTCTGGACGTGGCCGCCGCTGCGACCGCCACGCTGTACGACGTTCACAATGGCGGGGCAGCCACCGGAGCGGGGAATACCTCCGGGGTGACGTGGTGGGCCATGATGAACGGGGGTATTTACGAGGAAAGCCCACCGCCAGCACCGCCACCACAACAGCAAACACCAGCACCCACACCGATCAGCAGTTCTGGAGGGGTCACCTCCCCCGGGTCAGCAACTGCACCCCCCTCGGTCACCTCTGCGTCTGCAGTACCTCCCCAAACACCTGCCACTACCTCCTCAGGAGGTTCCTCTACGTCCCCTTCAGCCTCCTCAGTCGCCAGTAATAATAACACTTCCAACACGGGACCCCTTCACATACCTGCTAAACGGTTAACGACAGCGTACGGGGAGTGTCCTAATGTCGAGCCTGGTGGAGGTGTAATCAGGCACTCACACCACGGGACGCAGCCCTGGAACTACAGCCCGGTTGAAAACCACCACGGGGCCGGTGCCACTGCCTTCGAGCCGGCAGGCGGCCTCAACCACCACCAGTATGGCAACGCACCCACGTACTACAACCTGGCTGCAGAACCCTCGGCAGGCAGAGATGGTCGCAAGGCGGCTACAGCCCTCAGCTTCTGGTCGCCTGCTGCTACAGCTGCTGGGGGTGGTGGTGGTGGTGCAAGTACCGGGGGTGGTGGTACAGCGGGGACCACGACGACTGGGGCAGCCGGGGAATATGCCAAGTACAGTACCACCGGGTCGGTCTCGTCCGCAGGAGGACCCAGTTCGGACCCTGCGGTGTCGAGTTCGTGCCATCAGTCATTCTCAGCTGCGGCGGCCCAGAGCTGGTGCAATTATTCACCGTACTCCACCGCCGCTGCTGCGGCCGCCACGAGGCACCACCACCACGTGGTAGACACGCACCACCACCCTCACCACACCCAGGCCGTGCCTTACCTCAACCCTACGGATGAAGGGAGAAGGGTGGCGGCCGCCATGGTAGCGGCTGAGAGTGCTGGCTTCACACACGACAGCTACGGCCTCAGAAACTACGCCCCTGAACCGGTACCTTCTACACCCTACCCACCACCAGGTAAGTCAGGATCTCCACCTCGTCTTGCAGAAGGGTGAAAGTAGGCCACTACTGTAAAATCAAATTGACAGCTTATTTGTGACGACGAAATACATGCACCTTCATTAGAGGCAGAGATCACACTGACCATCAGTAATGGTTTGTATTGACATTTGGCAACGCGGGAGACTAGAGGTCAGTGGCGGCTTCGAAAGCTCGTTTGGGTTCCGTAAAAAACGTAAAATTTTATAGTCATCGAGGCGAGAATCAACTGCCTACGAAGTCCGTTAGTTAGACAAGAGTACATTAAAATCTTCCAAACTCATTTCCAGTTAGGATAATTTTGTGTTGAGTACCCTTCTGGTTACAGTCTATCATGGACCTTCACAAGTATATATTTATAATCAAGTTGCGTGGTTTGGATCTTAATGTCATGTTTTTTTATGAAATGTGAGCACAGTAGATTTGTACATAGGCAAAACGTTTCGGAGGAGCATGTTGCGTCCATCTTCAGAGCAGATAATTTTTCACTCTTCTAACCTGGAAATGGTGCAACATATTCCTCCGAAATATCGGTACTTTCTGTCATACTGCATTATATCATGCCGCCTAAAATAACAGTAGCTTTAGCAAGGCTTACTTTTCTTACAGAACATATGTTATTTGACTGCTTATGCGTGTTAGCAATTTTGTGCAATCCATTATCCTCAGAAATGTGTTACATGCCTTTGGTTGGAAAGGTCACTTAAACTCAGGAGGAATAATCTTTATAATCAGGGCTTGATTAAACCAGAGAACAAATTAGTTAAGATGTCAATTTCCCCAGCCTTTTGAAACTGCTCCGACCACTGCTTTTACAAAATTCCCACTGTTTTTTTTTATGAGATATAACCAAACTCTAGAAAAATATATGAATATTGAGCGTCCATCTTATGCTGTGTATTCACCGAGCTGTTGAGGCCAGGCATATTTTGTTGCCAAATCTGTTTAGTTCATCTTACTGGCAAAAAGTTGTCCCTGTGCTTAACTAATTAAGCAGTACACCATGAAGGTGTTTGGGGGAGTGGATGTATAGATCCACATATTCTTGACCTCGGCACTGGTTGGAGGTAAGTGGGCAGCTCCACTCTCCGGCCGCTTTAACCCTGAAGAAAGATAACAAACGCAAATGCCTCCAGATGAAACTCTTACCACCATATCGATTTTTTTAATTCACTACAACCTTACAGTAATAAGTTTATGGCTCATAAATATTATGTGACAGATAAATAGCCCCGATTGCTTTTATATTCCCCAGTTATAAATTCATATCAGTTCTAGAAACATTGACTGGTGCCTTTCGTGATCTCAAGCTGCGTAGAAGGGAGCATGTTTGCTGTTTTTCTTGTACCAAAATTATGTAAGTCTGAAAAAGTGTAGTAACTTTCTTTCAAAGTGGATGTGATGTCCAGACATTTTGTGTACAGATAGTAACACATATAACTAATAATAATAGCCTATGTATTTGTCTTTATACTTATTCTCATACACGAAGATAATAGAGATAGAAAAAAGTGAAAATGTTTCTCGGATAATACTAATTCTATCCCCGAAAATTTTACGTTATTAAATCATTAGATCCCCAACAGAACTGTCAAAATCTCCCATTATTTTTCCTATGAACAAATGTGAAGTAACAATTATTGCAGTTTACAATCAATAACCTAATAAATTTGCCTCTGCAATTAATTTTCCCGCCAGCCTGAACCATTTCGCATGTTGTTATTTTAGGGAAGTTGAAGCAGTTGCCTACTTCCACCCTTCGCTGTATTAGCTATAGCATTTACTGACCTATCCAGTGATTGTTTAATGTAAAAAGTAATTACTTTTAACTTTATGAGGGTAAGCTCTTTTATGCCTTAATATATTGTTCACATATCGTTCTGTTACTGCTTCGTAGTTTCTCTTCTTTTTACTCTGTTTTCAGTGGGATGCCAGCTTGTATTTTGATAGTAAAATTCAAGAATTGTCGGCCCTGAAGAATAGTGTCTTGTGTTAGTGACCTACATATAGGTTCCTGTTAATTACCTTTATCACAACATGTGACTCGTATGTAATGATTTAGTGAATAACATTTCAGAATACTCTTCCTGAAAAACCGTTCCTTTTTCGGATAACCCAGGCAGCATTAAGTTCTGAGGTCCATTTTATCTGCATATGCCTTGATGGGGAGGTGCAAAATCATAGCAGAACTAGAACATTTGGGTCAAATCGAGCGAAGTGTAGAGATTAGATTTGATGTCAAAACATATCCGCATCCTTCTGGTTTCAAATCTACAACCTAAGGCCACAAAAGGGGACAATTTGTGTATTTGACCTCATTACTCAAATTGGCTTGTCGCCTGAACAGTCTTGAGAAAATTGTATACTTAAGTGCTTATTGTTTGAAAATTCAATATACTGTAGTAAGCTGCTGATTTTTATAGCAAATAACCTCCATAGAATCGATAGGCCTAATATTTATGCATAAATACTCGTATATTAAACTAATTTATCGAAGAATCCTCATTATTAACTTTACGAATGCAATGGCTACCATCTCAATTAACCTTCCACTTGTTTCGAGCTCTCAACTGCTTCATTGTCAATGTAGTTGACGGATTTAGCTCCCTATCCTCTTCTTGTTAAGCACTAAAGTAACGGAAATGCAAAGAGGGGTTGGAGAGTGCCATATTCTGCACATGTTATGGCATGAATTCGGATAACATATAAAAAATACTACATTTCATTGTCACTATTCTGAGGCCCTCTCATCTCATGTAAGCAGAAGTTACCATGCTAAATATTCTGTGGCCTATTTCGACCAGTGTAACCCAGTTATGATATGATTTTCAATAACTCTATGAACAAACATATATGTATATATTCATAATGTACCATATTTGTTCTAAGTATCATATGAAATTCGCAAACACGCGATATTATTAAGCAAAATATTAAGAATAATTTGTTTATTTTTTATTTAAAACGTGAAGTCCAGCAATGTAAAGCAGAAATGTTATGGTAAAGCTTTCTACTACATCTCTTACTTAGAATCTGCGGTATTATTTATTAATATGAAACATACAGTTTCGTTCAAAATCATATTTTCCTCGAATCACAATGAACAGCGTTTTTCTCCTGAGAGTGAACTGTCATGGAAATTATCTTGGGTGATTGAGACGTGAATTGTTCTTCCATTTCTCGTTTAACTTTCATATAATTCGGATTTGTTAACCGTAACAAAAATTTAAACAGTAAACCATATATCAGAACCACTTATTTAATATTCCTCCTACTCCAAAGGCCGTATATGTTGGTGATTTAGCCTACATGTAAAATATATTCACTTAAGGTCGGTATTGCAGGTACCTTTCCCTGCCTTACCGCGATCTCTTCTTCACTCTATCTGAGACTACCGACAGGTAGAAACGAGTGAGAGAGACGACGGTCTTACATCCCCCTCTCTCTCGCATTAAGAAGCTTTCCTGAATAACTGTACGCCGCAGTGGACGACTTCTGTCAGCTCGTCTTTCATGAGGGCATTTTTTTTTACGAAACAGCGGAAGTTGGTTCCGTTTTTCCTTCTACCCTCCACGTAACAGGATGTCGTCCAACTCACGCAGAATGAAATATTCTGGTAACTCAAAATTAAAGTCTTAACAAAACTAAAAGTTAATACATTCAGGTGTTCCTACGTACACAAGTTTGTACTTCTCCCACTGCAAATATCATTTTCTTCTTCTTCTTCTTCTTCTTTTCCCCTTCCCCTCCATTGTACAGGCAATCAAGCCTGTTCTCTCTTCACATTCGTTCCATTTTTCCAAGATCTTTCCCGATATTAACATCTTCTTGCATTATACTACATGAGTTCTCTGTATTTTTTCATTTGTCTTTGTATCAAAATGGCTTTCCCAGTTCCGTCTGCTTTCCTCATACCTGATCCAAAAATGTCCTAGCTTATATTAATTTTAATTTCTCATATAGGCCTGAAGGATTAATTTTGCTATGAATATGATTTTGTCTCCATTAGTAATTATTTTATATTTTAAGCAGATAATCAGCAATTTATTTTCTCACTTACAGCAATTTAGTTCATAACTTCGAAGTACATTTATAAGCAATTGTATCTTGCTGAAGCCAGGCAGTGGAATAGTGTCGGGACACGTACTAACTGATATTCGTAATAGCCGTTGCATATGCGTGATGTGAGTGTTCAGCTTCACGCCCCGGCCACTTTACCCCCGAGAAAAGAGCCCCCTTTACCCATTGGATAAGAGGTTGGGTGGATCCCAGAGCCGGTCTGCACACGTGGAGCGGAGAAAATTCTTGACCATACAGGGACTCGAAGTCCGACCCCTCGGTCGTCCAGCCCATAGCCAGTCTCTATACCGAGTACGCTAATGTTGTGTTTATGGATACATTAACTGTTCTCTTTCTCAGAAGGTAGTGTATAGCAGATACCATAACGTCCGTTGAGCGAGAGCAGATGGCGATGCAAGAGTACCTCATAATTAAGAGAAACATGTTTCACATGTATTGAGAATTATTATTATTCCAATAGGAGCCACGGATATTTAAGACTCTCACCCTCACTGGGCTTGTGTGCAATAATACTGCACCCCTCCCCTTCATCTGATGCATAAACAGAATTCAGAGTCGAAGTCTCTGTCACTTTGACACGTGACCTCTTTTACAGAGAAATATGCCGGTTCTAAACGAAACTGACGTCAAGCCGTGTTTTTCTCTTTAGTCCAGAATTTAGCAAGCAAACATCTCAGCTCATTAGTCAGCAGGTAGCCCAGAGCTTGCCGAAGAGGTCCACTGCTTTCAGTAATATTGCCATGGATTCCTTTAGCCCATTTGTAACTTTATTGTGGGTCATTCCCCTACATTTCGTGTATCTTTCCAGTCCCTTCAAAGACGCGTTCAGATCGCCTTTCGGTTTCGTAACCAAGTGGTACCGGGCACCCCGTCGTCGTCTGTAAGGCAAGTCGAGCGTG